CACATGAGCTTAGTGATACACACGTATCAGATGGTTCCTTTTTTTTTTCAACCTGAACCTGCAGGTCACAGTCGTTGTTTCCTCCTTTGGAGGCAAAAACTCTCTAGGTGAATCTGCCAAAACAAGGTTGGCCACCAGCTGCGTCGACAGCAGGAGCTCCCTAAATGTCGACGTTTCGGACGCCTGTCCAGACTCTCTACCAGCTCAGAGCTTGGTTGGACCCCTGTTGTTTTTGTAACACGTCCTACGCTTCTTTGTCCAATCCCTGATCTCGGCGACAATCTCAAAGCGAGGGTCAATGGTTCTGCCACACTTGGTCACGTGGCCATTCACGATCTCCCATTGGCCGGCAACATCCGAGCCGCTGCATTGCATCAGACCCGGACAGCAATGTATAATCTTCGACAGCTTGTTTCTCGACTGGCTTTGGCAGGTCATCAGCACCTGCCCAATTCGCTTCATTGTCCTAGTCCGACATCACTCCTTCAGAGCCTGAGGTCGAGGTACTTGACTCAGATGAGCTCGTGACTTCAATGATCGCCAATGGAGACATTTGTGCAGCGCGCGCCACAGCGACGCTGTCGAGAAGGGTCAGATGCCGTGTCGACCTGGCGTATGCTCCAGTAAGAGCATTGGAAAGAGTGATATGCTTGATCAAGGATAGCGTGTTCTTTCCTGACGCAACTCGTGCAAATTTTTTTTCCAGTGGCACAAACCCTCTTGTTCCTGGGACACCTATGCCATGTGCATTCCAGCCACGCAACCCTGTGTTGGTCACGCAGAATGTGGACCAAGGTGTCGTTGACGCCCCAGAACAGGCAATGAAGGAGGGCGCCGACTTGGCGACCAAGCACGCGACGATGTTCACGAGGAATCTCGGCTTTCGCCAACCACGATAGCGTTGTCGCTTTCAGAGAATGGCTCCTCAACTGTTTGTCGTCAACCCCCAACAAGGCCCTTGGCGAAGAGGTTACCTCGGTGCTGCAATGGGCCTTGGATGCTCCTTTCTGTTCTGGATTCAAAAGAACAGCCACGATGGGTCTTTGACACCCTCAGAAGAAATCACAATCGGAAGCAACAAGGCCTTCTTCTCAGCTGTCCTTGCGCCCTTTTGATGCCTTGTGTTGAGCTGCACATACCCTCCTTGAGAGTTGGTGTCATGCAAAACTTCCTCGAGATGCTCAAAGTCGGACTTTCTGGCTCTTGCGTATAAGGCCATTAATGCATGCGAAGCAAAAACCCTATCGAGAATGGTACGGCTGCCATCACCTGCAAATGTAGCTTAACTACCTCATTCACAGTTAAGAGCCTGGCCTGGCTTGCATTCTTCTTCATCGAATACTGCAATTCTGCAGAGCCCACAATGCGTCTTGACGCACAACACTCAGTTGCTCCGTCACACCTCAAAATGTGTCCAGCAAAGTTTCAGAACTGTGTTGGGTGATTTGGTCCCATAACTGCTTGCATGATCAAGTCTGCATCGTCAGGTTCGGCCATGATCTGGCGGCCGACTGCACTAGCATCAGGATCAATGCTCAAAAAGTGGGTACGTGGACACCTGCATGGTTCCATGGTGCCTAGTGATCACTACCAAACTCCGGCGTTTGACGCGGTTGGCCGCCGGAGTCTATGATCCGCTACCAATGTACCAGTACGCACATCACTGGAAGCTTGAAGAGATAACTTTATGGGTAAGGTTGCGTGCTCCGCATAGGAGGCGTCACTTAGCCTGAGCCTCACACAGTACTCATGTAGACGGTAGACGCTTTGAAAATAGAGTTGCGCAGCAATGTACTTGTTCGTATTTGTTCATGGACCGTTGTTGCTTTACTAGTAACTTGAACCCCGTTTGCAGACCGTAACGCTTAAGTAAGTGAGGGGATTTACACTTGTAGAACGGACAAAAGTGACAACATGTTTTTTCACTCCGCTTTCGGGTTTCGAACACCGAGAACATGTCAGTGCTTTGCACTAGACCACCCATGAAAAAACCAGTGAATCACTTTGACTGTACTGAGTGTACTGTCTATACTCAGTACACTGTGTCTAGCAGCCTGGCCAGAAAACACACCAACAAAACAAACCCAACAAGAACGGAGGGTCGGGTAAGAAATTGGAGATTCATTGCTGCATTGCTTGCATTCCAAGTGGACACTGAGTGTTTCGGCCAGCCTGCCTGATGCAATGCATCTTTTTCATGCACTGCCGTAGCGACGTAGCGATAAACTGGCCATAAAATTTGGCAAGATGCTGGAAATCGGCCGAAATTGTCAAGTATATGTAGTATATGTATATGATACTTTTGGTTGGTCGGTTGGTTGCTTATGGCGTATGCCCGGCAACACACTATGCAACACTGTACTGTACTGTACATGTCTCGCACACTGCGGAATCAGCCCCCAAAGATTCAGATTCCACAGACCCTGAGACCACCTGAGACCCTCAAAGTGAAAATCACATCTCACATCACTGTATCAACCACGTCAACGCAAGACATGCTTCACGAAGGAGGCGGGCACAAGCAATTGTCCATCCGCAGGGGTCACTTCGTCCCCGTCCCCGTCAAAGACTTCCTCAAAAGCTTCTGCACGCTGCTTGCGGCGCTGATCCTTGGCCACCTTTGCCTCATTCTTGGCAGCACCCTCTGAAACCTCGATATGTGTGAATGGACGGGACAAATCAAAGCCAGCCCATAGCAAGTCCTCCCCTTTGCTGCTGCCCGGAGTTTTGACATTGGCGATGACCAGTTCTTCCGGTCGGATGAGCCGAAGAGCTGGAAGTCCAAGGTCTATGAGACTGCCTCTGGACAAGCGAACCTTTACATCAACCTGATCAAAGATCATGTTTGTGCCCTTCGACTTTCCTTTCACCAACCAAGCTGGACACAGAAGTGGGCTTTTCAGTGACATCTCGGGGGAGAGCTGCTTGGTGATGGGAATCATGTATGCATCATAGCCCAAGTTCTCGAAGAACGTAGACGGGATTCTGACCTTGATCTTAAAAGCAGAGACTGGCTGTCCACGAGGCACCACTACACAACGACCTGCAAAGCACATGCGGAGCGCTGCCACAGCCTCGTTCCAGCGAAGGTCACTCGTCGGGCCTAGACCATCGTCCTCGACCTTGCGCCGCATCGTGACTTTCTTCTTCAAGATGCCGGCATAGGTCAACCTCTGCTGGCGTAGAAACAACACCGTCGTTCAAATGTACATTAACAGCCATAAGCACAAAGAAACAACGACAACCAGAAAACAGATTGAAGCAAAAGAGTCAAGAACCCTTGGTCGCGGAAGGATTCAGCATTCTCAACTTCAATGCCAGCTGGCAAAGGGGATTTTGTGTAAGCGCACAAAATGGCCCACGTGGCAAGTGAAGCTGCCTGGTGAGCTTCCCAATGCTTGCTGACTTTTGCGTCAGCGCTTGGGAATGGCAACCAAGTATTGTCACATATTCCAGGACCTTCACCAGTTTGACCGTCAGCCAACCCCACAATGTCTCCAGCGTCAATTGAAATTGCATTTTTCACCTGGTTCTCCCACAACTCACAATTCGCCGCTTCCTGACATTTTGCTTCTTGGGTGTGAAGCGCGACCAAGCCTCTCACCAACAAGTCTTTCTTAACGGTCTTCAAGCTCGATTCAATCTTCTCGTTCTCCGTCTCCTCCTTGGATTCTTGAGGCCGTGACTCTTGAGTTGGAGAAGAATCAGACGGAAGCAGATCAACCAATTCGGATGGAAAACCATCTGGGAGTGTCCCCTGGCCGTTGAGCTGGGCAATGAGATCCGGCACAGACGCAGCCAAAGTTTGAGCCAAAGTCTTCACGTTCAACTTGTACAACTTTTTGCTCTCAGAAGCCGCAAAATCTTCCCAATCTTCTTGGCTTCGGTGTGAACGGGAAGCATCGATGTTGCTGACCTTCTGCACCATGTTTCGCCACATCCCTGCCCAAGCAGACAAGAACTCCTTCCGCTGGTCTTCAGTGGATGTTGCCCAGCAATGAGCCTCCTTAGATTTAGATGATGATTTCAACTCTACGACTCTACGACGACTCTACCCTTCCATCCACTCCAAAACGTCCCAACCCCGGTCTGATCCTCCCAACCCAGAACAACAAACATAACAAACCTTGGCCCGCCCGCACGCAAAGCCGTGTTTCGACAAACTCCAAATCCATCGATGAAATTTGCTTGACCATTTGCCGTAGAACAGCCAGACCCTTCGACATGTCATTTGCTACTTTCGCGATGGCATTCTTGGTCGGCGGTTCATTCAACTTGGAGAGCAAAGACTCTAGCGTTTCCTTGGCTGCTTGAAGCCCACCAAGCACATAGACAGCGCGATGCCCAGCAAATGTCAGGGCATGACATCGCTTCATACCAAACGCTGTCAGCACAGACTTGACAAGCTTTCGGTGGGAATTCAACGAAGGCATTCCGCTCAAGGAAGGCAACCTTAAATTAGCTGGGGGAGTGAATTTCCAGGGTGAATGGATGAGCCGCGAATGCCAACGACAACAATAGAGATTGGCCATTAAGTAAGCGCCACGAGGGGGTTTAAATGCCAGCACTGTACAAGCAGCGCACAACTGAACATCAAACATCAATTGCGCTGCACAGTTTTCAGTTTTTGAAACGACTCCAAATGTTGCTTGAGATGCTTGAAACTTCATTTAGCAAAATTGCTGTCCTGTCAAGTCAAGTGGCAAATCATCAAAGTCAAGGCTCACTGCCTGTGACACCGCGCACAGCGAGATCGCCACATCCAGAAAAGCTGGTTCGAAGGTAGCATTCACGGCTTTCAGGATCTCCAAGATGAACTCCATCAACAAGTTGCCTTTCTCAACGTCATTGGCAGTGATATCCAAAACCTTCGATCGCACTTGCTTCTTCACCTTGTTGGCCACCAGCATGATTCCGGGGTGTGTGTCCATGGCAGTGGCTAGTGTAGGAACTTGAACCGACTCCTCATCCGACAGGTCACCATCACATTCGCTGAAATTGAAATTCGCATCAACGAAGGAAAGGACAGCCTTCTCATTGAAAGCTTTGAGCACGCACACCAAGTGCCGCTGGCAGTCACTACCCTCATCAGCCTCATCATCACCCAAGGCCACAGCATTGCGATGGTCACCACCATGTGTGCCGTGCTCGTCAGCAGGCTTGTCAGGGTCGGACATCCTGGCTTTCAGGGCATGCGCTCGGTTCAGCAACCCCTTGATGTGCTGCCTGGCGCGGGTCCATGCGGTGATCTTTGCAATGCCAGCAGACTCCAAATTTCCCTCAAGGGCAAAGTGGACACTCAAATCCAGCGCTTGGGACACAAAGTCTTTGCGGCGATCACGACCAGGAACCCGTTCAAGGGTATAGTTGATAGCATTCAGGACATCATCTCCAAAGAGGGTTTGCCGCTGCTGCCCATTGATGTCAATCATGTCTGGAGTGAACTCTTCGATCTCATCCAAAGCGTTCGGTCCCCTCTTTGCAGAAGCACTGGCTTTCCCCTTGGCCTTTGGCTTGGCCTTGGCCTTCTTCTCCGCCTTCTCCCTTTTCTTCGCATCTTTCTCTTCCTGTTTTTCCCGAGCCTCTTTGAGTGACTGTGGCAATTTCGAGGCTTTGCTTCCCTGCATAGGCTGGATGAAGATGTCGAGTTTTTCCAGGTCCGCAAGTTTGCTGAGGCTATGTGGATAGGATGAGCCCTGGGCAGTAGAGGCGGTCGGCACAGCAAACTTCAGCACTGCCATGGTCAAGTCTGCCCATGTGCACAGATCACTGGCCTCCTCAATGGGTTTGCCCTGCTCTTGATTCGAGTGACCCGCCTTCTGCTTCCCCACATGCTTTCCTTTTGGGCTGGGTGCAAAGGCTAATAGCTTCCGAGTGGTGACGTTCAGGATCTTGTAGATGATACTAGGGTCCATGTCACCAGCTGCTTCGAAGTTCACTTGACTGTTGCTCCAGCAGATGAACCTCCTGAACAAAGAATGCTCCTCCATCCTGTTCCGAAAAGCCGTTGCCGATTGAAGTTCCCGGTATGATTGAAATCGCCCAGGGAATTTGTTGTCAATAAAGGCTTTGCAAATCTTTTCAAAGTCCTTGTGTGTTGAGGTCACAGGAGGCTCGAAAGTTTGCAAATGTTTTTGAAGCGCAGGCTCAATTTTCTCCAAAGATTGAAGATGTTCCACAAAGGATGCCTTTGACGCTGCCTTGTTGAACAAATTGCCCCAGTCACGCAACCATTCCAAGACATCCTTGGCTGTTCTTGCACAAGCGGCTAAAAAGACTCAAGAACTGACTCGAGAACTTGAAGAGTTCAGTGAGACTTCCAGAACATGAAGAAATGTGGCACTGGCACTGGCGCGAACACGCAAACAGCAAACACAACCCACCACTCCACACTGAGGACACGTCTGTCGGTGTGCGCTCGTGAAAAACAGTGATGTTGGATATCCCTTCTGCCACGCTTTGCCCAATTTGTGTGCCGTAGAAAGCAGCCTTTTCCTGACAGGATGACAGGGAAATTGATCGCATGGCGGAGTGAAGAAGGAACAGCAGAGTTGTGAAGAGGTAAGCTGTATCCCAGGGATCAAGTGCACGACAATATAAAACTAAACAGTAAACAATTAAACGATCACATTACACATTTCACATGTAATTACTCTATATATATATATACTGTAATCATAAATTACACAAAACAACAAATATAGATACCCTGATACCCTCACTTATGCTACAATCTCATACATCAAAACCATATATATATATATATATTGTAAAAATAACGTTGCAAAGCAGGCCTGTTCGTTCAGCTCACCAATGCTAGATTTGGATTTTTCCCGCAGCCACTCATCAACGGCATCATAAAGTGCTTCAATCAATGTTGCAGACGTCATCATCTGCAGCTCAACTCCACTTGTCCAATGACCACCAGAGAGATCTGTGGATGCAGCCTCCGGCCTCTTCCTGGTCACGACCCATGCAGATCCACGGACCTTGGGCACACAAGTGAAGAGAAGCGGAAGGCGGAAGATGCTGGTCTGGTGGAAAACCTTTACTCTGTCAGCTTACATAACACACCTGTAACGGAAAAGCCACAAACATGTTGCTGCAGCGTTGCTGCTTGAGAAAAACTCTGTATGGATTTTGATCACATCTTGCAACTATGTGGCTCCTCGTGCGAACCCATAAGTCTTGAGCATCTCTTTCAGTTTCTCGCGATGGGAAACTTCGCTTCGATTGTTCAGCTTGTGCCGCACAAAGATTTTCCGACCTTCGGCACAAATTTTACAAACATGCAGAAAAAATACTCTGACTCCAGCACTATACTTACGCACGGCTTACACTACACGCTGTGCACAAACATGCGAGAAAGCTTGGTTGCTTTGGCTTGGTTGTCTACAGAACAGAAAATGAAGCTGAAGTTGAATGAATGCTACAAAAACGGGTAGTTATGAATATGGCCGGCCTTCTGAATCAAACAAGGGAGCTTGCACAGAGTCCTGTTGGACGTAGATTTTCCACACTTCATCTTGCCGCTTCCGCCCTTGGGAAACGAACCGTTCTTCTATTGTCAAAGGTCCATCCTCAAAAGGCATCCACTGAGCGCCACCGGAGCTAGCCATGTCGCCAAGACACAGAACAGGCACCGCTCAAGAAAACTCACAAAGATCCAAAAAGTAATATCATCAAGTCGCCATACATACGGTTGATTTATTGCACCCCTTTAAGCCGCCTAATCATCACGCACATCTCTAGACCCTGGACAACATGTTTGCTGGTTGTGTCTCATCCTTTTCTCGCATTTCCAGCATTTGGCCCTGTGAAGCAGCGGCGCAATGCTAGACAAGGCACGAACAAAGAAACATAACAAACAACAGACATACAAATCACACAACACAACCAAAAAAGCTGCCCTTGTTTGACCTTGTTTGACCTGACCTTATCAGCCATATCTCTGACTTATCTCTGTTTTCCAACTTGCAGCAACAAGCTTCAGGTATTAAGACCACTTGAGGCAACAAACAACCGCTGAAAGAACTGCCAAACGATCGGACCATGTTTGGTCAATCAGTTTGGTCCCACAATGTGCAGAGTTGGCATTGGCAACGTTGCACTTTGTTTCAGCACGTGCTGAGGCTGAGGTCAGGTCTGTCTAGCCATGAATACTTTATGAAGACTATAGGACTACAGGAATATGAGGGGATGAGGGTGGATTGCAAAGGGCAAAAGGCGACATACGGAATTGTGAACCAGTGACTTGTCACATGGGTGAAAGGTCAAAAGAAACTACAATTCGATAATTCGATTTCCAAATGCTACAAACTGTCCAGTCCAGGTCATCAAGGCCACAATAACATTAGGTAGGTATCCGAATAGCCTGCCTTGAGTCCTAGTTCAATTTGTCCTAGTCTCTGAGTCTCTCATTGTTAGAGCTTTGCTGGAGGGCAACGAAAACCAAGCATTCCATCCAAAATGCAGTTGCACTTTCAAGTCTTCTAGTAGTACTAGTAGTCTAGCCTAGTCATGTACGCAGTGATCTGTGAGGCCAGTGCAGGGTAAGATTCTCGGCTAAGCTAAGATTGTTCTCAATTGAATCGGTTGCTTTGACTTTAACCGTTCCTTACTTACCTTTGATCTTTGACCCCATTTTACAAAATGCAACATCGCAACAACCGAAGCGGTGACACAGTCTTAAGCTGCCTCAGGGAGGTCTGTGGTTCATTGACGTGACACCCCAGTATGACGCCAGCCTTGGGCCTTGAAGTTAAGAAGCTTGCGATAGAAATAGAGGCGTGCCAGATCTTGCACCAGGCACACACAGGTCCCAGTGCCCCCAACAGCACTACAGGACACCGCCAAAGACAACACATCGCAGCTTTCTTGATTCCTCGACTCTTGACAGCATAATACGAGCAAAACTTGCTGAACACTGAACCCTTAACCCTGATGACAGTCCTGCTCACTGCAACCACCCAGAACAAGGAAACAGCCAAGGTCCAAGGTCAAAGATCTAGTCAAGGAATCGCAAAAAGAAGAGAGATGGCTTCAGGGACTTCCCGCCCAACAGGCGACGTCAGCTTAGCTGAGCCCTCTCCCAAACAAAAAGAACACCCCGTGGGTCACTTGCACACAAGTGGCCCTGTGCCACTGCACGGAAAATGCCGATATGACTGCACTTCTGTCCCACCGACCTCACTTCCTGGGTGAGGCAGCAGGTCGCTTCAAGTGCCGCTTGGACCGCTTGGAGACATTACGTGGCGTTGGCGCCGTCTTGCCCTTCTTTGCATTCTGACCAGACCCACGTGGCCCCTTGCGGCGCAAAGTGGCAAGGTAGTTGGACTCAGGGGGGATCTGTTCACGATCCACTTCATGCCGGATCAGTTCCCGCACATCGCGTCTCATTGCAGTGAACAGGACAGCTGTATACCTAGCAAGC